GGAATATAAATAATCGTAGTTTTGGAGCACACTATCTTACTTCATTTACGATACCCTCTTAACAAAACCGATTTTCACTATGGGATAAAGCTCCAAATTGATCATGCTTCTACTAGTTGGCTCTTTAATAAACAAGCTTTCAATGGGCCTTTCACCTTTTAGGACTTAGGGCCGCAATGCATGCTGGTAGTTGGGTATGTGTTTGCTTCGAAGTGAAATGGCGGCCGTGAGGTGTTCATTTTGCTTGGAAGATGAATTTACTGGTTTTAACGATGTTTTCTTTCGCGAGATGAAAACTTAATCATGCTTTTAGGACAGGGCACTCTCTGTCTACATTTTGTAGAAACGGTGAGGAAATCGGAGTCGCCGTTGTGAAGAAAAACGAATTTAAAGCGGCCGAAGGGATGAGCGCTATTCGAAGAAAATATGCTTCGAATCTTGTGTTTCTTTTAGTCAAGAGGTGAGTAGCCGTATTGAATACCTGTAAGTAAAATCTTTTGCCTTGCAGCTGTAGATCTGTAGTTTACCTGTCCTGATCGCTTATTAGTTGTATTTATAAGCGTTTCTGCATCGTCTTTTTGTTTGTTGAAATTGACACATTGCGATGAGAATTTTATCTGCTGCTCTTTAAAACATGGCCTCTGTTTTGGCGCGAAAATGTACTAGCTTCTTGCGCTAAAGTGTAGATATTTTTCAAAAACTGCATTCAGAAAGTACTGTCACTTGATATTACAGTTTACTTTGGTTTTGCATTCCTTTTGGGTCTGTTTTGGTCCCTGTCTTCGCGTAACAACTAGGTTGTAGGTTGTAAATATTAATAATAGCACTAAAATATATATATTTTTAAGAAAATAATAATTGTCTTAGTCCGTATTGTCCGTATATCGATAAAGTAGTATAAAGTTCACAATAATTTTATTGTTGAACAAAATTTAAAATTTAGTTAGCTGTTTAAATTCAAAAATTAGTTAAGCATTTAAAGCCACTTTATAGAGTCTTTATAGTAATTTCATTTTAAACCTAGTCTAATATTTCTGGCTCAAATTTTTAGTTAATAAATTTGTAAATAAGTGAAATAGTATAATTGTATATAAATTTTTAAATAAAATAAACTAGAGAGTATAAAATGGAAGACATACCTTGCACGTCAAAGGATGCAGACCAAGCAACACAGTATGCTCATGCAGAAAAGAGAACACAACATGGTAAACAGTTATATGGAGGAAAAAACTGCTGCGTCCCCCAGTGCACCAATAACAACTTAAGAAACCCCGAACTGTCATTTTACAAGATACCGAAAGACTCTACACTGAAGAAGAAATGGGAGAAACTTTTGCAAACAAAAGGTCTTCTTAATATCGGCCCACATTATAGAGTTTGTTCTGTTCACTTCTCTGGGGGAAAGAAAACATACACAACCAATGTACCCACAATATTTGTTCCTAAAATCACTCGCACACCAAGAAAGAAGCCAAACAGACAGCAGATTGTTTTGGAGGTTACCACATCAGACATGTAGGTTACCACATCAAACATGGAGGTTACCACATCAGACATGGAGGTTACCACATCAGACATGGAAGTTACCACATCAAACATGGAGGTTACCACATCAGACATGGAAGTTACCACATCAAACATGGAGGTTACCACATCAGTCATGGAAGTTACCACATCAAACATGGAGGTTACCACATCAGTCATGGAAGTGAACACAGTCCCTGGAACAATAATATATGACAATGAGCCGACAGAAGACCCAGTGGAAGATACTGATGCTGCCAAACTTGAAGCTCTTCAATCAAAATACAATTCTCTGGAAAAGAAATATGAAGATGATGTGAAAGCAGCAGGAAAATGTTTATTTTGATTGGAAAGATTTATTGGTAGTGCAAGTGACTTTAGGTTTTATACTGGATTCCCTGATTATGCTACATTTAAAGTGTTCTTCAATTACCTCTCACCAGCATGTAATAATCTTATCTACTATGGATCTACAACAGGTGTTATAAGCTCAGCAAACCAGAAGAAGCATGGTAGACAAAGGTCAACATCTCCAGAGCAAGAATTATTTATGGTGCTAGCTAGAATGCGCTGTGGCTTCCTCTTGCAAGATTTGGCACACCGATATGGCATGTCATTTCAGCATTGCTCACGAATTTGGATAACATGGATAACCTTTCTTGACAAGCAACTCCGTACTCTTCCCATTTGGCCCACCCGAAAGTTCATTGATGACCATATGCCAGCTTGTTTTAAGCAAAGTTTTCCACAAACGAGGGTGATCATTGACTGCACTGAGCTTTTAATCGAGATGCCATCTTCCTGCCGGAGTCAGTCAGCAACATTTTCTACCTGTAAATGGTGTAAATGGTGGCAGCGACCTCAAATCTTTTGTCCATCTCTTTTCTGCATGAGCATACTGTGTTGCTTGGTCTGCATCCTTTGACGAGCAAGGTATGTCTTCCATTTTATACTCTCTAGTTTATTTTATTTAAAAATTTATATACAATTATACTATTTCACTTATTTACAAATTTATTAACTAAAAATTTGAGCCAGAAATATTAGACTAGGTTTAAAATGAAATTACTATAAAGACTCTATAAAGTGGCTTTAAATGCTTAACTAATTTTTGAATTTAAACAGCTAACTAAATTTTAAATTTTGTTCAACAATAAAATTATTGTGAACTTTATACTGCTTTATCGATATACGGACAATACGGACTAAGACAATTATTATTTTCTTAAAAATATATATATTTTAGTGCTATTATTAATATTTACAACCTACAACCTACTTGTTACGCGAAGACAGGGACCAAAACAGACCCAAAAGGAATGCAAAACCAAAGTAAACAGCAGTAATATCAAGTGACAGTACTTTCTGAATGCAGTTTTTGAAAAATATCTACACTTTAGCGCAAGAAGCTAGTACATTTTCGCGCCAAAACAGAGGCCATGTTTTAAAGAGCAGGAGATAAAATTTTCATCGCAATGTGTCAATTTCAACAAACAAAAAGACGATGCAGAAACGCTTATAAATACAACTAATAAGCGATCAGGACAGGTAAACTACAGATCTACAGCTGCAAGGCAAAAGATTTTACTTACAGTTATTCAATACGGCTACTCATCTCTTGACTAAAAGAAACACAAGATTCGAAGCATATTTTCTTCGAATAGCGCTCATCCCTTTGGCCGCTTTAAATTCGTTTTTCTTCACAACGGCGACTCCGATTTCCTCACCGTTTCTACAAAATGTAGACAGAGAGTGCCCTGTCCTAAAAGCATGATTAAGTTTTCATCTCGCGAAAGAAAACGTCGTTAAAACCAGTAAATTCATCTTCCAAGCAAAATGGACACCTCACGGCCGCCATTTCACTTCGAAGCAAACACATACCCAACTACCAGCATGCATTGCGGCCCTAAGTCCTAAAAGGTGAAAGGCCCATTGCAACGTACTCGTCCGGAAAAATTTTTTCCCTAAAAAGTTGTCGATGGGGGGGGGGCGAGGTTGTTGCTTTCCGAAATTTTTTTTGGCGGAGCACCCCCCCTACCAGACCATGCTGGATCCATCCCTGTTCATAGCTATATTTTTTCACTAACACCTAGATGTCATGATATGACAATTTCTTGGCAACCTGAAATTTCAGGAGTTTCACTTAAACACTTCTATTAAAAATCTTTGAAATAGGTTTACTTCCCAAACTTTGACCAAACAGTACTGTCCATTATAAACCCATTGAGCACCAGCACTCCCCCTTGATGGGGAAATTCATCTGGCATTAATTAATGCGATTTGTCGTGTATGATTCGTACTGTGGCGTAAAGCCCATTTTCTACTAGGCAAATTTGTTTGCACAAAGTGGAAAACAAATCTTGGCCAGGTGATTGGTCAGTGAAAAAATTTGCCACAAAAAAGTTGGATCAATTCCTACTTTTTTACTGTTCGCGTGAACAAATTCACCTAGTGAAAAAAGGGCTTAAAACGGTTGCATTCATTCTCAAATTTCGCCATAAACTAAATGAAGAGGATTGTGTCATCAGTAGTACTATTCATACAAATCATACACAACAAACCTACCTTTGGGCATTTTAAAATAATGGGTTAATTGCTCAGTTGCTGAAATATATTAATTAAATTAAGAATCAAAATTGGCAATAACAGGCTTCCTACTAGTATGTAATGTAAGTTTGCTGAATATGTTTGCCACTTCCCTTGCTCAATTCCCTGTTTATACTAGTCATAGTTCCTCAAATACAAAACAAATCTGTCCCATATATCAATTATGTATAGTAATATAAATAAATACACAAGTCGAAAGTTTAAAATCACGTTTTATGTTTAAATTTTTTGTTATTTTTAAACTTTCTACATTTTGAAGAAGTCTTTCTAACCACACAAACAATTTATATTGTACAAGACATGAAAGTAAAAGCTTACGTTTAAAGGGCAAAAATTGTTACATTTGGAAAATTTACAAATATAAAAGTCACAGCGACTTTTGTATGTAAACACTTTTGTCATGCGAAATAGCGATCTCGACGTCTTAAGACAGTCTTTCTACCCATATAAACATTTATATAAATTATTTTAATCATACAAATAAGCTTTAAAAACCACAGAAACATCGGTAATCGGTACATTTTGGACAAAAATACTTCAGGATCCAAGTTTGAAATCACAGCACCTTCAATCACTTTTCTAAAATTGGGCAGCGAAATGCCCGTCCGATCGTCAAGCTATCAGCTATGTATCCCATCAATAAACACATATTTCTTTCACTAGTCGTCAGAATAAGAATGCCCAAAGAACTAAAACATGTGTATATTTAATAAGACAAAATTGTTCAATACTTACAATACACACTCTCTCGTGAATTTTGTGAAGCTCTTCTTGCGTTTCAATCGCCTTCCGTACGGCCAGTTGTTCGGCATTCGCACGAAGCACGGCTTGTGCTGGAGCGTCTCCTCTTTCTAAATAGCTTTCAGACTTCAGCATTTTGTTTTAAAACTCGTTCGAAGTGCTAAAATTTTGTAAACAACGGCCGACATGTTTGTTGCCTCGCGTTGCCATGTTCCGTGTCCGAAATAAATACTCCACTCTGATTGGCCGAGCCAGATCAACATTGCGAAATTTCCACATAGATTCTTTTTAAAACAATGTGCTTTTTCCTTTAAAAATATTGCACATTTCTAAGCCGAATATTTTTAATTCGTACACAAAATTATTGAGTATTGCTAACAATTATACTTGAATATAAACAATAAAAATCAAAATTTTTCAAGCCAGGGTTTCAAATAAAGATAAAACTGTTCAAAAGAAATGTCCTTTCTGAGGAAATTAATGTCAAACAGCAAAGGAATTTAGAATTCCTTGGAAGTCGGAAAAACAAAATGGCCGCCGATAATACAGTCGTGGGAAAATTGCTAGAAGCGGCTAATTTTGCCTGTATTAAGCACGAAAATCAACGTCGAAACAACCACGAGCAAACTCCGTACATCAATCATCCCATAGGAGTTGCATATATTCTCTGGAAAGAGGGAGATGTGACCGATATAGCAGTTTTACAGGTAATGTTCAAAGGTATTTAAATTCACACACATTTTGGCATTTCAGTGTCGAAATTGACAAATCACGGGGCTTCAATGTAGCCCAATCATAATATGCGTTAGAAAACGCGGTAAATAATTTGGCGTTGATCTCAATGTAAAACTGAATAAATATCTTTTGAATTTGTTCAGAGTATAAATATAAATTTATGCACCAAAGTATATATGAAAACATCTAACTATAGCGTAAAAATAAGGGATACCGTTGACCATATTTAATACAAGCAGAAAGTTCAAAGAAAACTTAACAATTGTTCAATGACAATGGGAAAATATTTACCACGCTTACAGAGAGTGCATATCTAATATATTAAGGTGTTTTGTGTGGTTTTCTGAAACGAAAGTGATCAGTGTCTCAGTGACAGTGTTTACAATTTCTATAGTTTTGTATTGTCTTTTATTGTCATAATGAACAAATCAAAGGATGACAAATCTTCTTATATTATTTATTCTTTTAATATTATAATTTTATTTTTGATCAAATTTCATCGTATATCTTCTTAATATATTATTTTATTTTCTATACTAGCTTTGAAATTGTAAAATCAGTAAATTTGCTGTAATAGTTTAATTTAGTATTTTAGTAATAGGTTATAGTAGGATTATCAATAAAACCACGTCCAATAACAAATCACCAAAATGACATCATATCATGACGTAATTAAATTTTTGCTTGATTAAATCTTCTTATAATGAATATAAGATTTTTTGTTTGTGTGATGTTACTCTGAGTGTATATCCACACCGGGCAGGCCCGAAAAACATGCCTGGCCACGGCGGGATTCGAACCTACGACCTTTGGAATACTAGCCCAATGCTCTTCCAACTGAGCTACGCGGTCAGGACGGTTCGAG